CGGGTGCGCTGCTGCCGCTGCGTGCGGACAGCGCGGCCACGGCCGACCCTTGCCGGCCGTCAGGCAATAATTCCCTTGCAATCTGACCTCAATTAGCATAACCTGACTCAACATGAACATAATCATCAAACTGACTTAAAAACATAACATTTCGCATGATCAACTGAACGGGCCGTGGCGAGCGCGCCGTGCGCCGCCGACGGCGATAGGCCGTCACCCGACCGATTCCTCTTTCCCCTCGGCAACTCAAGACCAATTCAACATGAAATATCATTTTGAGGCTATCAAGACTCTAATTACACGGGTGAACTTGCCCATAACTGAAAGTAACATGATGTGATACGAAATAGCCCGTGGCCATGCGCGATAGGCGCTGCCGAAGGCTTTGAGCCATTTCACTAATAAAACAACATTTTTCCCCGACCATCATCAAGTAACTGAACATAAAATGAGGTAAACTGATTATTTAAACATGAATGGTTCGTGAGTTGCCGGGTAAAACGAGAAGTTACTCGATCAAAACCTTACTAAGCATAATCGAACCTTAACACGGTAATACTTGAAATTCTTGAACATGATCCGAACACTACAAATTATAATGAACTTATTGACATAAAAATATGTTGAGGATAAGTATACCTCCTTAAGTGCTCGTCGGAATATCGCAAACCGATCGTGCTGTCGTGTTGATGCTTCGCGTGTCCGTGTGCGGTGCTTGTGTGCGTAAGGAATTTCCTCCAAATTCTCTAACTCTTTTAAGCTCTCGGTAACATATGTAATATATAGGCTGCTGCATGTGGGAAAAATCCGCCCCACACTCCTTGTTATATATTAGCCGAGAGGGGAAAAACTTGATGATGATAAGCCTTGGTGGCCTCTTCCTAACTTACCACTTGGTGATGGATTAAGAGATGGAGGGATGACTAATCCTCTTCAAACTCTCCTCATAATGCCACGTATTATACTTAAAAAAAAAAGAGGAACTCTTGTTTCCTTTACTATGAAGAAATATGTTCGAAATTTGAGAGAAAAATAACAACTAGCCACGGCTTTAGACCTTAACTCGTGATTAATTGGTTAATTAATCAACTAATTATACTTAATTAACTATTAAACATACTACTTAATTACCAAAATTATTCCGGACGTAAATGGTACGTCGAAAATAATTTTCGGTAATCTCAACTAAAAACAGTTAATTCCGAAAATAATAATTGATAACATTATTATATCGGAACTAAAACATAATTTATACTGACAAAGTAACGGGATATTACATGGTAACTCAGATAAAAAAGGCTAAGTTTGACAAACATTAAAAGTCAGCGGAAATCGTAGCGTGGCAAAACATATATACAACAACTATATAAACATGCTCCTGAAACGCCCGTCAGCTAACACCTCCGGTCTGACTCTGTGACCTGAAAAACATAATTAAACATGGGGCGTGAGTACTAAATCCACTATGCTCCGTAGGAACTCATACTAAAGTAAACAGTGAAAATAATTGCAATATAATGATCAATAGCATGTAGAAACGTGGTACCAGTACAATATAAAAACATCGCATGGCATGGCCTAGCATAGCTGTAGCATAGCTACAATATCTGCCAACACAAACGTGCTGGACACCATGTGCACACTCTAGTGGGTAGATAAAGCCACTAGAACCTAGAATGGGTTTACGCACCTGTACCGACTACCATTCTAAGCGGATACATAGCATGATACATACCTCAAACATGGTAGAGTAATTATAATCAATGTAATACCCAGTCTGAGTCCGCACCTGAACTGTCGATATGAAAATGGCAGTGCTGATGACTGTAGACTGATCAAACTGTAACATGATATAAGCAAATACTAAGTACTATGCTCAGACTGATTAAAATAACTTGTTCAGATGCTAAGATGCTCGACTCGAACTGACATGACACCTGGACTTAATTGGTATAGCTGGAACTAGTTTAAAATGGAACTGGACTGATATGATTGAACTAAACCGGACTGGACCTGGAACTTAACTGAAATTCTGACATAAACATGAACCGGATTGATAAACACTGAAACATAACATTATCTGGTCTGAGCTGGCCGGTTCATTGGCCGGCCGGACCGCCGACCTGTTATGGCCGAGCGGTCGGCCGCTGGCTTGGCCAACCGGCTCGGTCCCGCGCTGGGCTTGCTGGTACCCGGGCGCGGTCGCTGGCATGGACTGGGCTTGGCTGAGGCACAGCCGGGCCTTACTGGTTGTGACTGGCACGGGCATGGGCGTCCGCGCACGCTGGCGTGCCACTAGGCATAGCCGGCATGGACTGAATTTCGCTGGGCACAACAGGTGTTCGCCTAGGCCGACTGGACATAACCTCAAGTGCTGGCGTGCGACTGGCGCAACTAGTGCTCATGGAACGGCCATTGGGTGAAATTGGGCACGATCGACGGTTGACTGGACTCGTGGTGTGGCGATTGGTGCTGCCGGGCACTGCGGGTGCTGGCACTTGCGCGACTGGGCACTGTAGGGCACTACCGAGTACCGTGACAGGCAACTGGGCACATGGACGCGCGGACTGGTCCTGACTGGTACCGTTCGGGTGCTGCCAGGCACCCTGACGGTACCAAATGCTGCGTGCAGAGGCTGTACGCGACGCCCGACCGGGCATACACGCACATCACCCGCTCGACTGCTTGACCGCCGACGCACTGTGACCGTTGTGTGCGGGCAGAGCAGTTACGACCGGCCCTTGCCGACTGTCCGACAACTTCATCCGACAACTCTAACATAGATTAACATGAGTTAACATAACATGAATAAATACACGTAAATTGGTCAGGTGACCATGAATATGACTTAAATGACCGATGAGACGTGAACGGCCGTGGCGTGCGTGACGTGCGCAGCCCATGGCATCGACCGATTCTTTCGACCATTAACCAGTTCATCCGACAATTAAGACGTAACTGAGCTTAACATGACATATAAGAGCCATTAAGACATGAATTGTACTAAAGTTGCCGGACATAATTGAACATAGCTCGATGACTTATATGGCATAACCGAGGGAAACATAGCAACGTATATGGGCTTAAATACATGATCTGGACTTATCATGATCATATAATCATAGAAAGAAAGTTAATATGGTTGTACCCTCTCAATTGCTCGGTCAATAATACGTGACTTGCGTGTGTCCGTAACATTGCGTGCGTGCGTGCGATCCTTCTTCTCCGTGAGTTGCTTAGGCTTAATTATTGGATAAAACTTTCTTAACTCTCTACTTAAGCTTTCAGTTTCTTAAGACCTTTCGTATGGTAAAACTTATATAAATTGTGAAGGTGACCTTAAGTGAAAA